ATCATAGAGAACCTTTGTATGAAAATAAAACGTTTCGGATTCACTCCAGGAAAAGAAACTTGTAAAAACTTACTGACGTGGCAAATTTGTTCCAATTTCCTTCCATTTAAAAGTTTAAGTAACTTTCCCCCCTGAAATAGGCAGCCATTAGTCAAAAATGAAAACTTTCCCTTTAATGGTAAAAATTTAGAATTTTGTACTTATTCAATTCGATCCAAAGAATAAAAAAAATTATGAGTTTTTAAAACTTTTTTCCTCATTGTAGTCCACACAGCAACAGTTAGCAATGACCCATTTTAAGAGTGATTAAAAGTAGCCTTAACACGTAAACCTCGACATTGTTTGCAATTTTCGTTTTATTTTGCAGGGACACCGGAGGTAGAATAAAGCTATTCATTTGAAAAATATTCTTGAACAGCGTTATTAGTTCACATGTAACGGTGTTCGGATCCTCTGAATGTTTGTGTTCAGTATTTCTCAACGTGTTGTTCTGTAAATGAGACTGAACATAGCTTTTTTATGATACATACATTATAAGATGCTTTAGGACATAATTTTTCTGCTTTCATGAGACATTAATGTCTTTATTTGCACAACACAGCGTGTGGTGGGCTTCTTTTCTCCCTTTGAAATGCTTATATACATGTCAAGTTATCAGTTATGACTCTTAAATGAAGGCTAATTAATCTGAGGAATCAACTGCTTAAAAATTAAAAAGTTTTGTCATATTGTCCTTTTCTGCAAAGTTCAAAGTGTCCAGAAAATGTACAGTTAAGTGGCATTCCTCTGTGTAATATTCAAGATAACACAGAGGCATTTAAAACTGGAGCTGACATGGATGCTTACTGACCGAGATTAGTCAGTGGAACGTGGAGCTTGGAAGCACACAGACTACTTCTTCAGAGATAAAACGAGGGCTGAGTCTTGATAAAGGCCTAAATGGAACAGCGTGCTGTGTTTCACAACACAGTTTAGCACAGTACACACACACACACACAGAGCGCATCAAACAAACTGAGAGCAGGGTGAGACAGCATGAGCACAACAACATCTCTGCATCATGACATCAGCCGACCAACACAGAAACACTGAGGAGAACGACCACGCTGAATCACCTCGGACCTAATGCAGCTTCTGGGTGACTCTAAACATTTAATGTTCAAACTGAAAACTTTTTACTGTAAGACATTCACAGACCAAAAACATGCATGTTAGGCTGATTGGTAACTCTAAATTGTCCCTAGGTGTGAGTGAGAGAGTGAATGGATCCTTGTGATGGACTGGAGACCAGTCCAGTGTGTCCCCCATCTCTCGCACAGTGACTGCTGGATATGAGCACCAGTGACCCCCACAACCCAAAAAGGACTAAGCAAGGAAAGATGATGGATGAATAAATGGATGGACAATCACTGTTTTACAGTTTTTTTATATTATTATTCTATTTTTGTAACTATTTCTGTCAACAATGTGGACTTTAGGTCATTCATTTATCCAAACATGGCGGCACAGTGGTTAGAGTCATTGCCTTACAACAGGAAGTTTGCATGTTTGTCTTGTCTAAAATGTTCTATGACGTTAGTATGTCCATTTGTGCACGTGTAGGTTTTCCCAGGTACTCCAGTTTCCTCCCACTGACCAAAATCATGCGTGTGTGGTTAACTGATAACTCTATATTGTCCCAGGTGTGAATAGTTGTCTGTCTCTATGTGTCCCTGTGATGGACTTCAGACCTGTCCAGTGTGTCCCTCGCACCGTGACTGCTGGAGAAACGGGTAAAAGAGAATGGATTGATGGATATATTAAAACATTTAACTCATTCAGAAGATGGGTACTATGCCTTTTGTTTTTTTTGTTTTTTTGTAACTTTTACATTTCGCAAAATATCTCACTTACAAATATTTCTCCATAGTCAAATCAGCTAATTTATTTTACTCTCCTCTTTTAAAAGTGCAGCACATTCACTAGTACAAGATGACTGTACTTGCTTTTAGTTTCACAATATGTCACTGTTTGTATTGTTCACATTGCTTTCATCCCTTTCTCTTAACAGTTTATAGTAGGTTTTAAATATGTTAGTTTATGCTGGTTGTGTCGTGTCTTTTGTTTTTATCATTGCTGTTTTATGGGTTTTTTCTGCTTGTGCTGCTGCCTCTTGACCCGATCATCATTATAAATGAGAACTGGTTCTCAATTGACCATCCATCCATCATCTTTACCCGCTTCTTCCTTTTTGGGTCGCAGGGGCCACTGATGCCCATATCCAGCAGTCACTGTGTGAGAGGCGGGGGACACCCTGGACATGTCTCCAGTCCATCACAGGGACACAGAGACAAACAAGACCAACAACCATTCACTCTCTCACTCACACCTAGGGGCAATTTCGTGTTAGCAATCAGCCTAACATGCATGTTTTTCATTTGAGGGAGAAAACCCACGCATGCACGGGCAGAACATACAAACTCCACCCAGAATGGCTCCCTGGCTGGGATTCGATCCAGCAACCTTGTTGCAGAGAGGCAACAGCTCTACCACCTGCACCACCGTACCACCCTCAATTGACCTACCTGGTAAAAAGGTTATTATTGTCGTTTTAGATTCCAGCTACCGTTCTGCTACGTTTAGCTTTTAGCAAGCCCTCGAATTTTAGTTGGCCTTTTTTCCAACTTCTATCTATGTTTTCTTACTTTTAATTAGTACTTTTTTGTATTTTTAACTCCTAGTTTCCCTTTTCATATTTTTAGCTAGCTTTTAGCCACTTTAAATGGGACTTTTAGCTTTTAGCTAAATGTTTACTACCTTTTAATTCAATTCAATTCAGTTTATTTATATATCACCAAATCACAACAGAAGTCATCTCAGGGCACTGAACAGAACTTCTAGCGATCATTTAGCTACGTTTTGCTATCGTTGCAACTTTTTAGCTTTATCAACTTTTTGACTACTTTTAGCTAATGTCTTTCTACTTCTGCTAAAGAGACATCAAAATATTTTTGCAAACATGAGAAACAACTTTATCACTAATAAAATGTAGTTTCTGATTTAATTAAATAAAGCTAAGCACTTTGGCTCTAATTCTTGATTAAATTATTTTTTTGATCAAGAAATACACAGCGTTGTAAAAACTTTTGTAACAAAAATCTCATGGATAAGAAACTTCTTGTGTCATATATATCAAGGTTGAGTCAGGTCCTCTGGATGGATTCTCTTTTGTTGAAACGTTTCAAAGGACTGAAGAAGTCTTTTGGATAAAAAGATTAAATGTTTCAACAAAGAAGAATTAAACCAGAGGACTTGACTCAACCTTGTTAGATTCACTTCCTGGATTACTGAGCATGACTTCTTGTCATACTAAGAGTGCAAAGTTTTGTTATCTAAAATAGTAAATGATAGGTTCTCACTTTTTAATTAGCTTTGTCCTGTTGTTGCAATCTGTCAGCTTGTTTCCCCAGAATTCACTAAAAATAACCAAACCACCTACTGCATAATTATCCTTATGCCTTCCTCACTCAAGCTGGACTGAGGGCGAGAGGATCCTCCACTTTAATGTGAATCCCTCTAACTTCAGGAAGGTTGTTTTTTTATTCTCAAGAAGGCAACAAGGATAATGCCTTAAAGAATTTATCTCCTTCTTTCATCAAATCCTCTAAAATAGACCCAAAAGCCTGCAGAAACTGCTATAAACCCCTCTGCAAAAGGCGACTGCCACTTGTAAAATCAGCCTCTAGCACTTGACAACAAGGTAACAAGAATCAAATAGCATGTTTTTAGCAGATTTGTACATTTTTTAAATATCTAATAGCTTTAAAAATTACAATTACTTCCATAAATCTCACCACATTCCTCACCAGTTCAATTTCCTGAACTCTTCAATCTCATTATTTCCTTTTGGATGTGTCCTCTGTTGGTCATTCGTTGTTATCTGTGCGGTTTATCCAACACCTTAAACAAACACAGTCCAGATGCCACTCACAGTCCCTCCCAGCAGCTGATAAAGTGTTTATGTGCCGCCGTGTCACATCCACAACTTAAACAAGTCAAATCGAAATCCATTCCCCACTACTTGTGGCACTCCATCACAAGTTTTCAAAGTTACGCCAGTCAAAGCTTATTTGTGACTTTCTGTGTTTGTGCCACTGGCAGGAAGACACAAGGTGACTTTGGACACAGAGCCAACTAAAACTTCACCAGAGACTAAAATAACAACCAAAGTGCAAATAACCTACAGTCCAAAACAGTTAAACGAAAATAATCATTCTGCGGCTGATGGGGTTCAAATCTGTCTTTTTAAAAGGATCAAAATACGTTTGAATGGACCTTTAATTACACTTTGTTCATTTCTTTAACTGTTGGATTATTTGTTCAAATGACAAAAAAGACGTTATATATAAAACCCATTTGAAGAGAAAATTAAATACTGTAAGTAAGTTGTTGAAAAC